AATGCATATATTTAAGGATTTAGGAAGCTGTTTGCAACAGCAAGAGTGGCAAAACCTTTGTGTGCATAAAAACATTTGTCAGTCCTGACATTTGGGGTTTATCAGCACTACAATATGGTAGGACAGTTAGAAAATGAAGAAAGCTCCTATCAGTGCAGACATGACCTTGGATGGACCTTGGAACTTGATAATTTAGTTGCTTCTTATACACCAAACAATGACAGAATAACAGGAGATAATAATTAGGAGACATTGCAAATCTACTGACTATCTGACTGACAGCAACAGCCCATTATGACTGCAGCACATAGTTCTCCCCCCGGATTTTCTAAATTAAAACATGCAAAAACACAGGACGTGGCCAGACAAGGGTGGGTGTACTTAGCACCTAGGGTATACTCACTAAAGGCTCAGTTGCCTTCTACCATACCTGAGCACAATTTTCCTACCTCCCCACTCCCCTGACATTCAGTTGAAATCCTGCAGCTTCAACTTCCCTATCAGCAAAATGGGGATGTTGGTGTTAAATGCTGAGCTAAAGATAACAGTATTCTGATAAAGATAACAGAAGCACGCCTTCTTTCATTTCTGTGGTTTTACATACTGTATGAGGACATAATTAAAAAAAAACATCTAGTCGTTAGCAGGTCTTAAAATTACACTATATTGCCAAAAGAACTGTGACAACTCTGTGCAGGCCAGTCAGGTTCCCCCACACCAGACTCACTCATCAATATCCTTTTAGACCTTGCTTTGTGCACTGGTACACAGTCATGTTGGAACAGGAAGGGGCCATCCCCAAACTGTTCTCACAAAGTTGGGAGCATGAAATTGTCCAAAATGGCTTCAAATGCTGCAACATTAAGAGTTCCTTTCACTGGAACTAAGGGGCAAAACTCATTCCCTAAAAAACAACCCCACACCATAATCCCCCCTCCATCAAACTTTACACTTGGCACAAAGCAGTCAGGCAAGTACCGTTCTCCTGGCAGCTGCCAAACCCAGACTCATCCATCCAATTGCCAGACAGAGAAGGATGATTTGTCACTTCAGAGAACACATTACCACTGCTCTGGAGTCCAGTGGCGGCGTGCTTTACACCACCGCATCCCGCGCTTTGCATTGCACTTGGTGATGTAAGGCTTGGATGCAGCTGCTTGGCTATGGAAACCCATTCCATGAAGTTCTCCACACACTGTTCTTGACCTAATCTGAAGGCCACACAAAGTTTGGAGGTTGATAGCTATTGATAGACAGTTGGTGACTTTTGCACACTGTGCGCCTCCATATGCATTGTCCCTGCTCTGTAATTTTACATGGCCTACACCTTTGGGATTGAATAGCTATTGTTCCCAATTGCTTCTGAGAGTGACCCATTGTTTCACAAATGTTTGTAGAAGCAGTCTGCATGTGTAGGTGCTTGATGTTATGCACCTGTGGCTATGGAAACAATAGGAACACCTGAATTCAATGATTTGGAGGGGTGTCCCAATACTTTTGGCAATATAGTGTATGTAAATACAACCTCAGATGAACAGCACATGACATATTACAGTGTATCATTATTTATTTAACAAAACTAATCCAAAATGTAGAAGCAGTTCATGAAAAAATAAGTACATCCATAGGAATTAAGAGGGTAAGTAGTAGCCAGGTGCTGCTAATCAAATGCACTTGATTAATTGATCATCAGCAAGTGTGACCAACTCTATAACAGCAGAAGGTTTGGCATTTTTTAGGTTTGAAGCATTCAGGTGTGTGGTAACACAATGCCAAGGAGGAAAGACATCAGCAATGATGTTAGAGAAACAATTATTGCTGCCCATCAATCTGGGAACAGTTATAAGGCCATTTCCAAACAATTTTAAGTCCATCATTCTACAGTGAGTAAGATTATTTACAAGTGTAAAACATTCATTTGAGACAGTTGCCAATCTTCCCAGGAATGGATGTCCCTGCAAATTCTCCCCAAGGTCAGACCATCCAATACTCAGAGCAACTGAAAAAAACCAAACGGCTACATCTCAGACTCTACAGGCCTTAGTTAGTATGTTAAATGTTAAAGTTCATGACAGTACAATTAGAAAAAAATGAACAAGTATGGTTTGTTTGGAAGGGTTGCCAGGAGAAAGCTTCTTCTCTCTAAAAAGAACATGACATGGATGGAGTGTTTTTCAACATGGCTTTTCAATTTTGGCTTCATTTTTGTTAAATGATTCTTTTTAGTTATGTTCTGATACTTAAAACCCACAGAACTGAAAGAGGGTGTACTTTCTTTTTCACATGATTATAGGAGTCCTTCCTTCCTTCACAGATTGCACATTCCATCAGTAAAAGTAGATTGTGAAGGTTGAATTACCAGAGCCAGCTGTACATAAAATATCTGCACAATATAATGGGAGACATATCAGAGTTCAAAAGGGAACAAATTGTTAGTGCGCCTTTCGCTGTTGCATCTGTGACCAGGACAGCAAGTCTTTGAGGTGTATCGAGAGCCACAGTATCCAAGATAATGTCAGCATACCACCACGAAGGATGGACCACATCCAAGAGGAGTAACTGTGGATGCACGGGGAAGTTGTCTGAAATGGATGTCTGGGTACTAACCTGGGTTGTATCTGAAAAACATAAAACTACAGCTGCTTACCTCACAGCATAATTAAATGTGCACCTCAACTTTCCTGTTTCCATCAAAACTTTTCATTAGTAGCTGCACAGGGTCAATTTTCATGGTCAGGCTGCTATAGCAAAACTTTTGGTCACTTATGCCAGTGCCAAACGATGGTTTCAATCAAGCTTTGGCTGGGGACAATTTGAACCATGCGTTGTTCTCTGATGAGTACACCTTCACTGTCTTTCCCTCATCTGGGAGAGTTAAAGTATGGAGAATCCCCAAAGAGGCTTACCACCTGGACTGTTGAGTACCCAGAGTGCAGCATGGGGTGGATCAGTGATGATTTGTGCAGCAATATCATGTCATTCCCTAGGCCCACTACTTGTTCTAGTTGGGCATGTCACTGCCAAGGACTAATGAACCATTCCTGAGGACCATCTCCACCCAGTGGTTTAAACATTGTACCCTGAAGGTAGTGCCGTGTATCAGGATGATAATGCACCAATGTACACAGCTAGCCTGGTGACAGAGTGGTTTGATGAACATGAAAGTGAAGTTGAACATCTCCCATGGCCTACACAGTCACCAGATCTGAATATTATGGAGCCACTTTGAGGTGTTGTGGAGGAGTGAGTCAGGACATGTTTTCCTCCACCAGCATCACATAGAGTCCTGGCAGCTGTTCTGCAAGAGGAATTGCTCAAAATCCCTCTAATATGAATTGATGCTGTATTGGCCACAAAACGAGGCCCTATACCTTCCTAATAAATTATTGTGGTTTAAAACCAGGTACTTCAGTTTCATTGTCCAATTCT